GTGAACACTACTGATTTTTGAGGTTATGTGCATCAAACGCCAAACCGTATCGCATTTCAGGAGGTTAAATGTTACTGTTTTAAAACCCCAAAAGGGCGGGAAGATATATAAAATTTAAATTGTTATTTCGGTTGTATCAAATCTAAAGCTCAGAACTTTTTTGTACACCTAATATGTACGTATAAAAGCAGATATATTTTCTTACTTATTAGATATTTTCATTACATTCCTATTATTTTAATTCGTAACATAATTGTTTGATTTATCTAATTTAATGTATCTAATATAATTATAAAATTTTATCTTTAAGTGTGTGCGCGCGCGCGCGTGTGTGTGTGCGCGCGCACATAAGAAAATATATGTATACTTTCATACGTACATACACTTATAATATATACAACTTTATAAGTGTATCACATCTAAATGCAATTCGAATTTCGGAAGAGATAGATAAAAAAAGTTCAATACCCATCATTGGAATTGAAACCCAAGTTTTCTTTTTTATTCTATTTATATATATTATTTACACATTATGTAAAAAAACGCAAAAAGTAAAAAAAAGTTATGAAAAAATATCCCTTAAACTCATTTTCGTTTATAGTGGACTTTGAATTAATTTTTCTAACGAGTATCAAATTTTCCGAGCGAATAATATTCATTTTAGTTAATAGAAGATAGGATACTATAACTTCTAACCATTACTTTTTCAAAACTAATTGAACATCTGGGTAATTTCCCTTGTCAGATTAGTTCACTTTACTTGCATAAATACTGTATCAATAACTGTACAAAACATTCTATTAATGCTGCAAGATAATTGTGATTTACTTACCCATAATATCCAACTGTCACATTATCGTTTCTTGTGCGAACTTTAAAGTGATCGAAGATTAAAGCAACCTGCTCATCTGGCGTCGCTAAAAAGAAATACGTGCAATTCGTATCGCTCGGATAATTGCTAGGATATCGTGGTGAATTAAATTCGCCACGTTTACGAGAAGAACTGCGATAAGTAAAAATACAACTGCCATTGGGCGCTGCAGTACCCGGTATCTTGTACTCCGTTTCAAAAGTGTACCTATCAATCAGAATTAGGTTAGATTAAAAATAATAAGTGTAAAAGTGTTAGGAATTAAGTGTAATAAAATTGAATAATTAATAATTTTTAACTTAACTTATTTGAAATCAGAATTTGGTTAATTCGCAAGAATTCTTTCCTTGCGAATTAACCAAATTCTAATTCTAATGAAGCTATATAACCAAATATAGTTAATCATCAAGCAAACTGATGCATGTATTATTATATATTTGCCATACACTTGCTGACATCAAAATAGGACACATTATGGATATACCAATATAACTACTTATACATATGCACTGATCAGTTGACGAAATTTCAAGAGCAAACGATCAGTAATAGTGATACGTTATGTTATTATTGGCAACATAATAGCAACATGACAGCAAGATGTATGTATATTAGGAATGAGATTCAGAAATAACGAAAGGCTTGACGTACAATTACAACGAATTTTGATATCATAACTTACAATTAGTCTTACAAAGAAACACGGAACATAGAAGTGTCATCCTCCGATTTTTACGAGCTTAGTGTAGCTTAGAGTAATATGTTGTTCTTTAGACAAAAACAAAGAATATATATTTTCGTACGTGCCCATAAGCACTTTGAGGGGGTGAAGAACTCCTTTGAAAAAAATCGGTTTTTTCTTTCAAAGCAAATATCTCTGAAACTATAAAGAATAGAAAAAGTTTATCAAAATAAAAGTTGAATGACTTCATGAGTACTTTATAACAACAAAATTTTTATAAATTATTTATTTATAAAATTCCCCACTATTTAACTTTTTTTAACAAATTAAGACTCTTTTTATGATAAACTGAAAGGTTAAACCAAATTCAATCATATATGATAAAATTGCTTTCCGATTTATTTTTCAGAAATAATTATAAATGTACCTCTATACCTGTCCATGTGCTCGATTCTTCATGCAATACGTTCTGCTTACATTTTCTCGTAATAAGAGATAATGATGGATATAAATAAATTTAGACAATATTCTGCGTAACTTAATGAGAATGACTTTGATGTCGTTTACAATTTTGTGAAGTCATAAATGAACGGGTTATAAATATAATCCAAATTTCTTTTTTAATATATATATTTTTTCGACGAATGTTCTTTTTTCTTATAAATGGTAAAGTAAATTGTCATTATTGGACGAATTCTAATTCAAAGATATTTCACGAAGTTCATACCCATAAAAATTAAATGTTTGGGTAAAAATTAAATGTCTGGTATTTTTGGCAATCGTCTTATTGTCAAAACTCTTTTTTCTACTTCATAATTTGAATGAGGATATGTATTTAAAATTGATACAAGACATCAATGATCCATCGTTAACTGATATTATCGAGGATGATGAGCATTATCTCAAAAATCAATTGATATTCCAACAGGACGGAACTCCTCCGCATTATGCACGGCTTGTTCGTGAACATTTGAATAAAATTTTTCCGTGTCGTTGGATTGAAAAGAACAGTATTGAATGACCTCGATTCCCAGATTTGTCGCCATTGGATTTTTTTTTTGAAGTCACTTAAAAAGTAAAGTTTATACAACACAGCTTCTTTAGAAGATGTACGTCTACATATTATCGACGAATGCTGTCAAATCATCCCACAAATGTTTCAGAATGTAGGAAAATGTACGAAATATTTCGAGCAGAATCTCTATTATTATATGGAAATCGGTGATCAACATTTCGAATAATTTCTATGCTAAATTACATGATGATACGTATATATTTAGACATCCTCCAATTTATTAATGGACTGATTCGATAGATAATAAAAAAAGTTTGAAGATATAAAGATTTGTTTATTTTAGATTTAACACTCTGTATATTCTAAACAAATTAATCGAATTTAAAAAATCAAACGTAGGAATGTAATGAAAGGCCTTTCTAATAATATCATTTAACCTCCTCTTCCTATTTGAAATTTTTAGAGATTGGCACCCCCACTTAAGATGTTGTAGTTAAAGGTAAGAATTATACGTTAAAAGCTGTCTCCCTCAATATAAATTAACCTGTTTTTGCGTTTTTTCGAAAAATTTTTTAATTTTTTTAAGTGTTATTCAGTCTGTTTCATTTTCAATGAGCCACCCTGTATAACAGCACATGCATTAGTTTACTGAATATGCTACAACACGTTTGATTTCTAGATATTTTACAATATTTTATTACAATATTTTATTACAATAATAAAATATTACCTTATTATGTAGGTTATTAAGTTTATAAGCTAAAAAAATATTAATACTATTTTCTTCTACAAAATCTTGAACATATACTTTTGTGTTATATAACTTTATTGCGAATAGAAAGAAACAAAAATTTTTCAATATACTGCGACAATTTTAAAAAAATTAAGCGACAGAAGTTTTAAAATAACATTCAAGTTTAAAAATATCAGCTTATTAAAATTTAACTATTACAATTGTAAATATAGAAAAAAAAAACAAATATTACTAGTAATATATTGTCCATATTTAAAAACAATTAACAACCCAGATAGCACAGAGAATCCAAAAAGAATTCTTTTTTCATTCCCGACTTACGAAATTAATTCTTTTTCTATCCCATTTCTGTTCTAAAAGTATTCTTAAGGGTCCTAAAAGAATTCATTTTTATATCACCAATTGTGAGTTCTTTTTCGGATTTACTCTTTTTTTAATTTAAATAAATTCGCAATGAAATCGAAATAACTTTTAAATAGCATTTTTTTAAATGAAAGAAATATATTTTTTATATCAATCTTAAAAAATTTTTTTTAATGAAAACAATTTTATATAATAAAAAGATCACTTATTTTTAAATAATTATATTTTAACGAAAAAAATAATTTTGTATTATTATGATTAACTTTTATTTCTCTAGTTTAATTTATTATTTACAGTTCAATTTATTATTTATATCTATATTACATCTTATTAACAATTAATTATTGAAAAATGCATCGCATCGTCGGGAAAATTTGAACTTATGATCTCTAGAACGGTAACACCTGATACACTTACTGAACTAATCGCATGCTTATGATAATCGTTGCCAACGTTACTTATGTCTCCTACTATAACTTCTTAATTTCATACCTCTGTTGATAGTTATTATTAATATTTGAAGAGATTACATGGAAACGAAATAATACGTTGGTATTTATTAAAGGTAATTCCTGTGACAAATTTAAAAAAAAAATAAAAATAAACGAGCAATTGGGAATTTGCACAGTGCGTAATACGCTTTGAAAAAGTTTTATTAACTTAGCTAGGAAATGTATTTATTAACTTAGTTAGAAAATGATAATGAAAGCGATTATCCTCATTGTCAGTTTTGAAAGATTGACAATCGACATATCGACCCTTCGACATATAGTACTGGATGCGGCAAAATCTCTTTGATTTTTCGTTTTGACAGAAAAAGTAAATAACAAATCAAAGGGGCTCTTTCTACACAAAAACAAATAATAATAAATAACGGGAAAAGTAAGAGTAAACAACTTTTCTTTGAAATTAACAAAAATTATATATATTATAATTAACAGAGGTAAAAATTATTAGGTGTACAACTTTGCTTCCGCCGTTTTCCTATAGATGGCTTTAGCGGTAAGTGGTGGTCGAAATAAATAGATCATACATAGACATCATACAATACACTGGTCAAGACATACTTGGAAACGTTGAAATGGGAAGTCCTACCTCACCCGCCGTATTCTCTAGATGTTGCTCCCTCTGACTATCACTTGTTTTCGATCAATGGCACACGGCCTGGCTGACCAGCACTTCCGGTCTTATGAAGAAGTAAAAAATTGGATCGATTCGTGGATAGCCTCAAAAGATGACCAGTTTTTTCGACGCGGGATTCGTACGCTACCCGAAAGATGGGAGAAAGTAGTGGCCAGCGATGGACAATACTTTGAATCATAAATGTATAACCAGTTTTTTACAATAAAGCCTCGAATTTCGGAAAAAAACGGCGGAAGCAAAGTTGTACACCTAATACATAACGCCAAAAATTAGAATCGAAATTATGAAAATGAATACAAGTTACAAGTTTCGGCTACCGGATTGAGCCCTCTTCAGACATTAACATAACGAAAAAATCGCAAAATAAAATTAATTATCGCAAAAGATCGCATTATTCACAGTTCGGGTGAGTCTTGATCTCGAGTTCAACATAATTTTCGTACGGTTGAAACGTCAAATGTATTAAAAATATCTTGTAAAGTTATATCTGGTAAAGTTCTAGTTGATACAAAAGATAAAATTAAAAAACAACAAAAAAAAACCGTACCAAAAAATCTACGCAAGAATAAAATAAAATAAAATACCGAAAATCTAATAAAAATAATGAGATTATGTAATAAAAACTAACTAGAATTCATGTATAAGAAATTTAAATTAGCGTGTCCAAAAAGAAATAAAAAACTTTTGAAAAATATACAGCCAGAAGGAGCGCAAATGTGTAAGACAGACATTACGTGTCGCTTATTTTGTACGTTCAGTAGTGCGGATCAACACAGACTGAGAGAGGAGACGGACTGTTAGTAACAGAAAGTCAAACCTTATTTATGATGGGAATATAAGCCTTGTGGAGGCCATCGGTGTCTGTTTGTAAATTGAGACTATTCTTTTGCTTTCTGATATTAAGCATCTCTGAAACCAAACGTCTCCGATAGTAGGGCTCTTCATCTAAAATTGCGACTTCATCCCATTTAAAGTCATGATCAAGCTGTCTCCTATGCTCAGTTACAACAGAACGAACAGAAGTGTTGTGTCTAATGTGATTGCGATGTTCTGTAATCCTGGTCTTTAATTTTCTACTCGTCTGTCCCACGTATGACGCGTCACAATTATTATATGAAATCTTGTAGACTACGTTGTTCTTAGATGTATGTGGGCAAATATCTTTATGTACTTTGATGTATTTTCTTAATTTATTGGGACTACGGAAAGATACCCTGATGTCGTTTTTATTGAAACGTTTGAACTTTTCCGTGTGGAGAGGGATGAATGGAACCGTAATCCAAGAAACAGATTCACTCATCTCGATCTTGTCAGTCAAACCACTATGTGTTGTGTGTCTATTTTTAATTAAATTTTTTATTCGTTGATTGATTGTGTCAAAAATGAAGGTTAATGGGTAGTCATTGTCTAATAAAATGTTGATAATAAATGTCAAATTATGTGTATGAAATCTAAAGTCTGATAATAAAAATGCTCTGTCAATTAGCGAAAAAATCGTCCCTCTCTTTTGTGCAATGGTTAGAATAGAAATTCAAAAACCTCCCTGAAAAGGTCGGCTTACGGTACCAATCAAAACCAAACCTGTTTCCATTGATAGATATAGTAACATTAAGAAAATTAATTTCGTCACCAAATTCTGAAGTAAATTGTAACCGCGGATGGAACGAATTAAATTGTTCTAATACTATAGTAAGTCAATTTTTGGAGCAACCGCAGTACAAATATCATCCACGTATCTAAAATAAAATGCTATATCCAAGTCCAACGACATCAAGGAAACTGTCTCAAGTCTCCTCATCACCAAGTCTGCTATTGCAGGTGATAAAGGAGAGCCCATGGGAGTGCCGAAGTTTTGCTTATAAATTATATTGTTGAATGCGAAAAAAGTGGAATCGAGGGTGAACCTTATTGCTCCCAAAAACTCCTCTTTTGGGAGAGGGCACTCTCTGGAAATAAAATCCCACTGTTCATTAACACAGTCAACAGCTATCTCCATTGGAATATTCGTGAACAAAGATTTGACATCCAGTGAAATTAGTTTGTATTCATCTGTAATGTGTAACCATTTTAATTTTTCAACTAATGCAAAACTATTTTTTATGTAACTGTTCGCTTTGGGAATGGATTTGAATAATAATATAAATTGTATGTTATGCAAAAATGTAGCCAATGGATACAGCGGACTCCCTATCGAAGAGACGATGACCCTAAGAGGGCAACCAGGTTTATGAAAAAGTAAGATAAATGTTTGGGCATAGAACTTTCTTCCTACTATTGTTCTATTGGTCGAATTATGTTTCAGGAGAGGGGAGACATGATTCGCCACTACCCAAACATCGTTCTATTTTTTTTTTTTAGGTCTGTGAAAATCTTAGCTTCGGTACTATGCTCCGTCTAGAGTCACTGTAATAAGAGTCGAGACACAAACGGTCCTCTTCATGATTGGTGCTGCCATGTTTCAATTTGTTAATGTGTTAGTAAATGTAAGTGAATAAGTGAGAGCAATTTTTATAGCTGTAGTATTACGTTCAAAATGGTGACGGATGGACAAGGGGCGGATATTTTTTCGCTTTGATCTTGAGTTTAATTATTTAAAATAATTATCGCCAGTCTAATTTTAACCGTATTCCCTTCTTATTTTTCCGAGGACAGATCGTTAAAGAAGAATAAGAATTATTAGCCGTTTTCGATAAGACTGAAATATGGCGTCCTTCCGGTTTTGTCTCGACTCTGATTAGAGTGACTGTAGCTCCGTCCAGTCAGTGATGCGAATTTAACTCCACGCAACTCAAAGAATCAGCTCCTCCACTTTTGCTCCACCAATTGATGCCACATTTGGCTAATAGAGAGCGGCGTTAATTGGTACAGCAAAAGTGGAGGGGCGGACTCTCTGAGTTGCGTGTAATTATGTATGCATATGTATGCGTATACAGGGTATTTGGAAATTAATGTCTTTCGCACAGGGGCAGAAATGGACTAAACTGAGAATAAAAGTCTCCTATCATTTTACAATTGTCGCAATAGTTAACGTTGTTTATAAGCGGCAATTGCCGTCACTAGACGTTACATGCTTAGCGAATGCACTGGGCAGTCCTATCGTGTCGCGCGCTTGCACTTGGTGGA